TCACTAGTGACAATGATTTCTTCACTACTCAGTAGGATAGTTACCTGACATCAAAAGTAGCTATACAGTAGTTTTCTAATTCAATAAAATCATTTGCTATATATATATTTTCAACAAAAATATCAAAGAAAACTACATTTCATTTTAGCCTCTTTTGACTCCTCCAAATATCTGCAAGCGATATATATTTTTTTAGTATTTAACCAGTGTAAAAGATCCTTTCCAGGTCAGTGTTGGTCCTAAAGTCATAAGTTAGTTATTAATTTGGAGAGTGCACCCTGTTCTCGGTTGGTCTTGGAATGGGAGAAGACAATGGCACCTGAGAAGCGCACTCCACTGTCTACCGGGGCATTCTTCTGTGAGTGCTTTTCTTCAGAAGTCTCAGGTATGCACTGTATGTGTCTAGATAAAATTAACAGAACCAGGGTAAGTTCACTGAGATCCTCTCTTCAATAATCTGCTGTGACTGTCTCTGGGTTTGCTTGTTGTCCTGTGATGACAACTGCACTCCGGAGCTTCCAGCGACGCGCGGGTTTTTAAAAGAGAGTAAACCCAAGAGGATAACTGACCTCTACATAAAGAGATCAAAATTATTACTAAAACCTTCCAGCTGCTTTTCTTTTATATCTCACTATGTTGCAGTAGCAACACACAGTGGAAAATCTTGTTTTTTAACTCTGTATTTTGTTGCCTCGAGAAAAATTAGAATAGTGATAGAATCAGCAAAATGAGACATTTATTTTGAGCAAAGTATCGCCAGTGTCTGCTGGGCTTCACTGCTTCATAATGGCTGCATATAATATATTTATTCTTGTGCTGATCATTCATTACCACATACTCTGCTGCAGCTGAGGAACTGTTTTGTTCTTGGTTAGTTGATTTGTTTTTGTTTGTTTTTAGAAGTCTTATCAAAATAAAACAAAACCAGGTGTATTTGGAAATTGAAATTATGTCAGTCTTGAAATGATATATTCTATTGCTTTATATGAGAGCAGATTTCTTCAGGTTTGAGAGTTGTTGATGAATTGATTTTTGCCTATTATATAGTCAATTATATGAAAAAACATTTAAATATATATGTCATTGTTTATGCAATCAAGTATTATTATCATTATTATTATCTGTCAGGGATAGGCCACAAAGGAAGTAAACTGATAAAGCATATTCATAGAATCATCTTTAAGTTTTTTTACAGATAATATGAACCATAATTTAAATATTTTTTCTTCTTAAATGTAAGACAGTGATTTGAAGCAGAAAACATTTATTAAATTACATCCAGATTTTGTGAAATTAATACTGGAATCTACAGAGCTTTTAAGAGTGTTTTACATTCTTCCTCCAATCATTCATAGATATTTTGCTCAAATTTAATATCTGTGCTCTTTGTTTTAGCAAATTTTAGATTGACCAGGAATATACCTCAGTGGCACAGCACCTGATTGTCAAGTATGAGGTTTGCTTCCTGGTTCAAAAATTTTTTAAAAAATAGATAAATAAAATAAATTTGATGAGGTTACAGATAAGAAAAAGGATTTGTGGATTTAGTTACATTATGCACACAGGAAAAATGTTGAAAACTATTTTCAGTTACAAAACTCACTGAGGTTTATCAGAGTTATTTTTATAGATGATTGATTTCTACTACGAGATGCTAAGGTAAGGTTATTTTGTAGAAACAGCATCCATCTAGACCTGTGTACTAATGACTCCTTTCAAACAGGGAACACCTCCTGCTTCCTCTGCAGATATTACTGCAGAGGAACCATGAACTCAAAGATAAGACACTAAATATGGTATTGTCTAAATTTTTTCTTCTTTTGAAGTATAAAATTTTCTGGTAGTTGGTTTCTCTCATTTATGTCTCCTACCAATTAATATGACTTTCTCATTCAGCATACAAATTTCCTCAAAGTACCTTGTTCAGCTTTTAACTGTTTTATGATTATTGATTTTATTTTTACTTGGGAATGTTTTCTTTGTTTTCATATGGTCAGAAATAGTATGTTTCTTTGACATTTCCATGACATGTTTTTCCGAACCTTTAAAATAACAGTTACTGTTTAAACCACCATTATAAATGATCATTACACTTTTTATACACAAGCAACATCATTTATAGATAACGTGGCACAAGTTATTTAGGATGATATATTGTTCACAAGAATTTTATTTTACTATAGTGATTAATACGATTTCAGTGAAAACATTTGAGACAGTAAATCAGTTCTATATATAAGGCAAATGAACTACATTCTTTAGATACTTAATTGACTGATGATTTATATGATAGGAATACAAGATCTAATTGGAAGCTCACCATTATAAAATGATACTGAAAAACAAAGCTTACTTTTTAACAATGGAAACGAAGCAATGTAAACTCTTTTATTTGTCATAAGAACTTAAAGTGATATCTTACTTCAGGTTAAAAAGTATCTTTAAAAAGAGTTGATCTTCAATGAAAGTAGTAGGAAATGTGTGGAAAGGTGTGATTCAATTATAAAGACGAGATTGAGTGGTGCTAGTAAAACACACCTTTATAAATGACTAATTCCCTGCACTTTTATATTACATCCCATTCAGAGGAGTTGATTGCTTCTCAGCATTTGCTTGGATTTTATTCCACTCATTTTAAAACACGGTCTGAACTAAATTCATCAGTTCTGAGTGTGTTTAATTGCCTAGTAATAGGGTTTTAAACACAAATTACAAAAACATTTTAGCTTTAAGGACAATGAGTATTTTATTTTATAACACTCAACACTTTCTAAAAATAAATTTCTATCTAAAACATTTGCACACTGAAGATTCTTTAAAAACATTTTTTCCTCATTGATATAGTCAGTAGAGTATATATCATAAGGTTTCATGATGAGCTAGCTGGTATAGTATATATAAAATCACATCAAGGTGGAGGCGTGCATTTCACTCAGTATATCATATTGCTTAAATAATGGAGCAAACAAATGCTCATACAACAGTTTCATAATGTGGATATTCAGTAAGGAACTATTTTGCTATAAAAAATTTGTTGACAACTGAAGCATTTGCTGAATTTGCAGTAATTACATATACCCAAATTTTCATCTAAATAAAATATCATTGGTTCATTGTTTCCATTAAAGAACAAACCACAGTCTGTTTTGCTTTAAAGATCTTATTTAAATATCCAAGTACATAAACAAAATGTAAGTATAACACATGGGTGCTAACGTGTGCAAGCACACTCACTGACCCAAACACAGATATTTTTTAATTGATTACATGCATAAGATGCGCCAACATTTTTTTTAAAAATCATGTATAGTATCTATATTTTAGCAAGAAACTACTATGTAAATATAGCTTTTATTGATAAATAAGCATGGCTATAGGACTATGATTATATGACTATAAAGCATGTATATTTAATATTAATTCAACTTGGCTATGAATATATTCATTTTCCTTGTTCCTTTTCTCTAAAAACTGTACATAGAAAGTGATAAATATATTTCTTTTGTATTTGAAACTTTTCAAATTGATCTCAAATATGGAAGTAAAAATAAAGCACAATCTATATCAGAATTAATAATATTAAAAGTTAATTGTTAGGAAAACAGAAGAAAATAAGCAGTGTGTCAGCTAATGAGCTTTTTAACCTTTCAGATGATTCCAAGCTCTGATCCCTGCACACACATAACTGATCATTTTGTTCCATCACATTTATTAACATACAAAATGGCTTCACTACTAAGTTAATCCACATTTCCAATGATTTACTTTGTCACAGAAAGAACATCTATGTCATCTATTTGCTTTAGACTTCACTATGTTACTTGTTTCAATATCTCCCATTTTCTATTTTCACTTCATTTAATGACATATTCTAATCTGTAATTCTTTTGCCTAAAGTACACCGCTACTTACCTGTGTAGGTAGAGCCTTCATCTCTACACCAATGACTACAGGCATTGTGTGCCTTCTCTTCTGAGAAGGAAACAATAAGCAGTGTGTGTAGGAGCTCTTTTGGCAGAGAATTCACACCTTGAGGCATAGAAAAGGGAGAGGAGACTGATGAAGTCAAATCCCCTTTCAAGTCTGGTACTGACAAAACTCTGGGTAAACGAGCTTGTTTTTTTTTTCCTGGGACTTAGTGAAAATATTTTATTAATAAGGACTTGTGCTTTACATGGCTTTTAGTTGTACTGTAAGGTACCACTTAGTACCTTTCTATTCTGTTTTCATTACAATTGGATGTATAATTGTTTCACCAGAGAAAAAGAAGGGAATAGAATTTATGTTTTTATAGGAAAAAAAAGATATTTATATGTCATTAGAGTAATTCCTTTAAGCAATTCAGTAACTAAGAAGTAAAGAGATTGCTTTTTAGGAAAAATGCCAATTGAAATCCTAGCAGTGCAATACAATTTTACAAATATATGTGTGTGTGTGTGTGTATGTGTGTGTGTGTGTGTGTGTGTGTGTGTGCATGTGTGCATGTGTGTTTTACAAATTATGAGATAACTAAATTTAAATATTATGGAAAAATCTGGAGGCATCACTTATTTCTCTGCCAAAAATTATAGCCAGTAAGTATAAAAATACAATTCATTTAATTTATATAGTATTCTATTTTTGTTTTAAATAGTACTTATACATAATATAAATATTCAAGGCTAGGGATTTACTTCAGTGTCATACGTGACTACCAGGAAAGCACAAGATCATGAGTTTGAACCCCAGGCACAAAAAAAAAAAAAAAAAAAAAAAAAAAAAAAAAAAAAAAAAAAAAGAATGAAATACGCAAAGGTGATTCGATTTTACTGGTGTGTGAATCAATAGTGGATTTCCTAAAAATACATTTATCTTTATTCAATGACATTGTTCTAAAAAATGTAAATAGTTGTAAATACTAGGAAAAGCAATATCTGAAGAAGAAAAGTCCATAGAAATAAAAATACACATGATTACTTGTAACAAGCACCCCATCGAAGACTGTAGGTAAATACACTCACCTGTTTTAGGGTCTACGGAGAAGTAGGGCTGACCCTGGAGGATACTGTAAACTACCCGAGCGCTGTTTCCATAGGTGGGGTCATCTGCATCCGTCGCTGTCACCTGTAGAACAGAGGTACCTGTGCATTCAGGAAAACAAATTTTAGTGTGATGGCGTATTGCACATGGTTAATTTGAACACAGAAAATGGTCATGCTTAAATATCTATGGGAGAGATACAATGAATATGCCCTACCAAATTAAATTTGAGGTAAAATGACTACATCTTACTAAATTAAATTTTCAAATATGAATATATTTTTTTTGCATTCATTCCAAATCACACAGCCTTGAATAAATCCAAACCAGAACGCTTGGTCTCAGATATCTTTAGATTTCAATTACATGGAGAAGGATATTTTTAGAGCTTCATATTAATCAGAATAGCCCTGGATTGATGGTCATTAATGAAACTGGACCTAACTGTCAGATTATTGGTGAGAAAGATTAGGGTATACCAACAACCCTGGTAACATTTCAGCAAACAGTAGATTGAATAGTTTTTAATTAAGGTAAGAGGATGAATAAATGAACATCATGGTTTCAATGACCTCAAAACACTTCATTCGAGTAACTTTTTATTTTCACATCCTTTTGAGGTTTTAATATGCATTATTAATGGATCTCAAAACTGGTCCACTGGATTCTATTTTTGACTCAGATTATTTCTAACATTTCTTAATTACAGTACTAACACACATGATTACCTTTCTAAAACTACCATTATGATATGCCCATGAAACTGTATGTTTTAATCAATATAGTACAAGTTAAAGTAATTTATCAACTTACTGTGTTTTAGGTGATAATATGATTTCATTGTGCTATTTTCCTTGTGTTCATATATTATGACACAATATACATAATTGAATACATTTATATTATATATCAGTTATTTCTAACTCAAAACTTATGTAACTGTAAAGCAAAGACCATCCACTAATGGATGTGTGACATTTTTTATAACATCTTTAGCAGACTCTGATTTACTAACAAAATATATCTTATAAGTCTTATAATAATTTATAGGTAATGTTGCATTTTATATAACAAGTCTACCTACTCTTTTACATATTGAATAAAAATACTTGAATAATCAAGTAAGACTTTAAAAAATGTGTACTCAGTCTAGTATTTGAGTATAGAAGCACTTAGGAGTTTTATTTTTGAATGTTAAAAATTATACAATGGCTTCAGAGTTAATATGTGTTCTATTACAAAACTTGTACTTCCAATGGAAATTCAGACACAAGTTTAAAATTACTGTTTTGTGTCTTTAAGAATCCTAAAATGTTTATTAGAATTGATATGAGAGTTTCCACTTACCGCCCTAATTAGCAGATCAGAAATGCATGAGAGCTTCTAATAGCGTACTATCAGTCCAGCCTTTATGTACCACTTTGATACTGAGATTTTAAAATTGAAAATAATATGCAATTACACACACTAAAGAGGGTAGGATTATGTCATGTTTAAAAGTTAATTCAAATTGTAAATGAATAAAACATAACAATGACAGCAATATGGGCAAGAATGCGTGGAATCTGGGTCACGTGCAACCAGCTGGTGAAATGCGAGATTCTGGAAGTATCTTTTAAGACCAAAAAACACAATCACCATAAAACTCAGTGCATCCTGCTTGCACATTTATACCAAAGACATAAGAACTTACATTAACATATAAAATTATTAACAAATATGATATAATCTTTTGAAGTGGTCTCAACCTGGACTTGTGCTCAGTGTCTCTCAGTGATACACCCCTTAAATTGTGGTGCATTTTTCTATGAAATAGCACTTGACAATGGGGATTAAAATGAACACAGCACTGTGTAGGTGTGACAGCTTGGATGGAATTCATATTATCATACTAAGGAAAATAAAAACCTATAATATAATATCATTTGTTTTATGATTTTGTTTATACAATTGAAATGACTAATGTTTAGAAATTGATAACAGAATATTTGGCAGAACTGAAGGGACAAATAATGAGGAAGATACTTTTATTACAAAATGACAACAGGAGAGATCTTCAGGATGCCGAAACTGCTTAACACTTTTTCTTTATAGTGGTGAAATCAAATCATGAATGTACAGTTGCAAACAATCAAATATGCATATTTGCATATATGCAAATTTTCATAAGTAAAACAAGGAAGTAGAAATATAATTGGTATATATGATACTATTCTCATAATCTTAGTACCTTGTTCTACTGTTTTGAAAGATGCTCCCATTGCGGGAAAGTGAGTAAAGGCTACAGAGAGTGTCTTCATGTTTGATCTCATAATTGGATGTTCATCTTTAATCATCTCAAAATTAAAAGCAATGGAAATATGTGCTCATGTTTCAGAATAAGTTCAATCAGTGAGAGGCATTTGGACTTGTGTGTACCATAAGTTGTCTCAGAAGAAAATAAATTGCCAACACAAATCTATGAGACCTAGTCACATACAGCCTTCCCATTCTTAAGAGTAATTATAATAACACAAGAACCTGTGATATCACACCAGGTGACCTATCCTCAATATTTATATATCTAATTCGCTTAAAACATACAAAAAGGTAGACATTTATAAATAAAAGTTCATTTAGAAGGAATTTTCATTGATACATCACTGAGAAGAAGAATGAAAATCTCTATTAGGTAATTAGGTCAGACTCCAAATATGCAACAAGCTCATAATGTTGCCAAGCACTGTAATTTCATATCAATCCAAGCACTAATCTAGTAAGACATATATTAATGGTTCCAGGCATCTAGGGCCTGTGGGTTTTAGGGAAATAGCTGTATAGAAGACAGTAAAATAGTGGTCACTAAGGAATCAGGCACATAAAATCCTCAAGTTTTTAAACCAGCTCTGCCTCTGAAATACTGATTTGAAATTAAGCAGATTTTAATGTATTAAAAGAAGTCCCTGAGCAAATATTCCATGAAGAAAGCTGAAAATGACATGCTGTAAGATCACACCTCATTTACTATGACAGGTTGGATCACCACACAAAAGCAACAGAATTACTCAGCTTAGAATGAGGTGCTTATAAAAGTCCATCCTTGTTAATGGAGGGAGGAGATTCATGAAGGCAACAGAAAATGACATCAGTCATTAGAAGATCAGTCAAACAGAAGAAGAAGGATTCGATTGTGGTGATGTTAAAGTAGCAGAGGGGACTGAGAACAAAAGAAAAGAAAATATATCTATCTGTGTCTCAAGTATGGTTTTAATAGCTACATACAACTCTGTATAGAGGATCTCACAAGTATTCAGCAATTGCAATTGCCTTTGAAACTATAGGAACAGATCACTTCTTGGGCTGTACTTTACTGCCTCTCTGAGTACCACAAGTGCTGGTGACAAAGAGAATAGGTGTGTGAACAGCCACGCTCAACAAAAAGCCAATCTGTCAGAGAAGATAGTGGGAGTAGCCATAATTAGCAAGGATGGAAAAAATTAGCTTACCAACTTCTATAAATATTCCTTACTAGAAGGATTTATAAGAGTGTTTCGGGCTCTAAGGAAAATACACACTTGTATTACTTTCTTGTTTATTAGAAATCTAGATGGAAAAACTTAAAGCCCTGGGTTACTTAATAGTGCTTCTTTACATTGGGAAAGTGCTTCATTTTAGTCATAAATATTACAGACTAAATATTTCTGCTCCTTTCCCAGAGCTCATATTCTGAACTCCTATCCCCAGTGGTGGAATTTGTTGTGGGTGAGGGAGAATGCGCTTGGAATTTAGTCTCAGGGTAGTGCCCCTATAAAGGAGGAAAGGAAAGCTTCCTTACCTCTTCTGCCCTATGTGGAAAGGTAGGGAGAAAAGGCCTTCTGTGAACCAGAAATCAGCCACATGCCAGACACTGAATCTGCCAGGACTTTGATTGCTAAGTCTCATTCCTCACAACTCTAACAACTCTAAACCTATTCGTTTGCATATATCATTCACCTTCTGGTATTCTGCGATAGACAGCAATCCACACAGACTATGACAAGTAATGAGAAAATAAATAGTCACAAACAGATCTCACAAAAGAGTGGGTTATGGGTTGGGCTGCTTCTCAGGTTTCACTTCTTTGATTCAACCCTTTTCTCTGGCCCCAAAGGCACTCACATAATTGGAAAGAGCACTGTTGTTCATGTGATTAGTTAAGAAGAGATCACACTGGAGGAGTGTGGGACCCTAAAAAACTATGTTAGCTATCTTTCCAAGTCTGGAATACTTGGAGATTGATTGACAGTTAAACACAAGCCCCAATACACCTACAAACACAGAAAAAGAAGATCATGAAAAGTTGGAGGTAGAATTTTTGTATGATGTGGCAAAGAACACAGAAGATGGTTAGTGGATCGGCAGTGGCCGTGAGAGAAACATGAAGCAGATCTTTCCTGAAGGCTTTCAAAGGGAGCGTGGTTCTTCTGATATAGAGCAGCAGGCTTTTTGCTTTTGGGACCAGTAGCAAGACGTTCTCCTGTTTAAATAACCTGGCTTGTAGTACATGTCTATGGCAGGTTGAGCAAGAAAGTATTATAGCATCACTTACAGCTGTTTTCTGACTGACCCTTGTAACAAGGCTTTAAAATAGTAACTCAAAAAACATAGTGGATGGTTTCCTGTGCCATTTATTATCACACAGAACACAAATGAGATAAAAATTTAAACTAAACAGATCATTACCTGAAAGTTCTGTTATTTTCAGACACTACTAGTGATCTATCTGTTGGTATTTTAAAGTAAGTTAATGTCACATAGGGCATTAAATTAACAATTTTGTTTCTCATTAAATTTTAAATAAAATATGTAAATATTTTCATATGTATGAGAAAAGTGATCCCCACTGTATCATTCAATTCTTTTATTTAAATTCTGTGTTGAACCTGCATAGACAGTGGACATTGGAAAGTATTATCTTCTATGGTGGTAATTTGAATAAAAATATATAGTGTGAATTTTAAATGTCTACTTTTGTATCAGCAGATTCAAATAAGAGTCTGATTTTCTCTGGGAATTTTATGGATTTGATCAATAGATAAAGCTCATTTCCTATATCACCAGTTTCCTATTAGAAAAATCTTTC